ACTGCTATCATAAAGAACACCAGTAGAATTCAGCCACAACTTTCCATCTATCAGCTGACCAAATGTAAACTGTCTCATGGAAACCATCCCACTAGGTCAATATGATCATCGATGAATGATTACATAACAACTATAGTCGACATAACACCCCAAGGACAACCCAAATAAGTCGTTACTTTAGACTTTAATGGAGAAAGATCTAAACTTGCAGTTATGTTGCATCTCTGAAATGTAAACCCTGATTGTTGGTCTTGGGTCTCGCGGTGCTGAGCTGTTACCATATTGCTCTGGCCTTCACTCGGCAACCTTGCCACGATGATGTATGCAACCATTTTTGATGTATGCAACCATTTTTCTTCTTCTAGCTTATTTTTTGTGTCAAAAAGTTGGACAACTTATGAGGATGTTATATAGGTCGACTGACTTAAAACATTTCTATTTTTTGGTGAAACGAATTAAATATATACATATTCACATATTTTGTTTGATTTTCTTTCCTTTGTTGCAGTACATGCTAACAGCTAATGTGCAAACTAAATAATTTTGCTAGCAAATTTACATTAGTGTTAATTAAAGGGATTAAAAATAACACAAATTTAGAAAGTATCACACAAAATTCTGCGTTTAACTTCAAAGACCCAGTTCATATTGGAAAATTCAAATGACACCATTCAATATTCAAACCATCAGTTTTGGTCGGTCTACTGTTTAAATTACTACTAGATTTAGACCTGTGCGCCCGCGAGGATGTATTTTTTTTTACAAAGTTAAAATGTTATTTTTTCATATAATAATATAGATATATTATATATGTAGCAGCATATAATTAATCACATTTTATACATTTTATACGTGCTGTGATATAAGTTATCATATAGTAAATCGTATTTGATTCATAACATCATATAATTAATGACATTTGTTTTTACCTAATCACATATTATCTATATTTAAAAAAAAAAACTTAACATAAAAATGATAAATTAATTTGGTATTTGAAATTTATTTTTATTTTTTATTTTTCTTATAATATATTAATTAAATTTGTTATTGGAAAACATATTAGTAAGAATAAATTATATTGTTATTGTTATTGTTACATAACAATATATTAATATTGAAAATTTCTACCTTAAAATAAATCTGACCGCATCCGTACCCGCGATTTAAGTAGATTTGAAATATAGTATATTTTTAGAATATTTCTTCCTTTTAAACAAAAATACCAAATGTAAACTCTGTTTTGGATATACTTTTAAGATTACAATATATTTAAAAGAATTATTCTACCGTTATTGAAAATTTTGAAAAACAATATTTAAAATGAAGATATTGTTGATTTGTATATATATTTGAAATATTTAATTTATTATGAGAAATATATATACTGGGTTATTTACGTATTCGACATAGTTTGAATATTTTTTTAATTGTCTAAGAAATTTTGTATCAAGTACAGTTTAAATAATCTACCATAATTTAATAGTATAGATTTAAAAATATATACTTAGATAAATAAATACTTATGGTAGATTAACAAAGAGATATTCATTATATTTACTAAATCTCTAGATTATGTAATTGTTAAGATTTAGAATATTTGATCCGCGTTTCTTAGTCTTTTTTTTAATATTGCTTTCATTATTTAGTATATAGGTAGCAAGATATATAAAAATATTGCATAATTAGTGTTAGCAGTTTTCTTTTATTTTAAAGGAATTGTTAAATTAAAATTTAAAAGTATTCGTATATTGCTGTAAAATACTTGCAAAAACAAATGAAGTCTCAAAAAAGTCTTCTAATGCTAATACACTTATGATGTTAACTATGTAACATATACATCATATAGTTCATGCATTTGTTGGTAATTAATGAATTATAATTCATGTTCCTGACAATTATTTTTCTTATATATATAAAGTAACATAAAGTTTGAGACATAATATGGGCTAAAAACGATCTAATGTAAATAAATTGAGTTGTTTTCTAAAAGGAAATATAGAGTAGTTGAGTAAGATGAGGGAGAAAAAGATTTGATAATATACAAAAATTATAATTTATCTTCTTTGATGATATCTACAGATAGCTTCTTTTAAATTCAAAAAGATATAAAATAATTGTTAAGGAGGAAACAAAATATGCTCTTGCAAATTATATTAAGCAAAAATACACAAAAATCCCAGAGATCATCAAAGAAGGTCTAAAACCGAGGAAACATGTTTTTTCAATGTTATTCCAAATGGGCTGTATTTCTTCTTCCACATGTCTATTATTTTCTATTTGTCGGAACCTATAAAATCAAAGACAATCGCTACTTTCTAGAGTAGAAACATGTGAATGAATTAATTAGGGCTAAGGTTACCTCTCACACAAGTAACCAGTGTTGACAACGTAGATGGGAGCATCAATTTCCAATGAACGATTTTTGAGTAAGGATGCCGCTCGGTGTTTCTATAGATCATGATAGTTGATATGTTTCATGTCCAATTTTGAGTTTAGTCTCTGCACAACACACATAAACTATTAGATTATTTAGCGAAGAACAGATAATTAGAATGCAAACCAATAAAATTAAAGGTAATAACTAAATTAAACAACACACACAAAAGCAGACAAAAAAAATTATGGACGACTAAGAAAATGGAAATAAACTATTTATAGGGTAGATTGTTGGTTAGATTAGATAATAATAAATTTCAAATATTTTGGTTTTCAAGTTAAATCTATATAATCTTTTTAGTTATAGATATTTGTTACGAAGATATGAGAATATGTATTTGAAAGGTTTGATTATAGTATATTGATTTATTATGCGGAATACTTCTATTATGTAGATAGTTTCTATATATATATATATATATATATATATATATATATATATATATATATATATATATTATTAAAAGAGAAGTACCAATAAGAAAAAACCCTTAATTTTTTAGTTATTTACAATAGAATGCCATTGAGATATATATTGAACCTATATTTAAGCATGCTTGTCTTTTCCTAATTTAAATAATAAATTTAAATATTTAATATATTTTCATAGTTTAAATAATAGGTTTCCTTAGTCAAATATTAACCAAAATAAATATCCTAATATATTTGGTATTAACATATTAAATATTTTAATATTTATTAGTAAGAGATAATATGTTATTTTTCTTTAAGATATTATAGAATTTATAGTTCTACTTATGTTTATATATTTTAAGTAGTTANTAGTTTAAATAATAGGTTTCCTTAGTCAAATATTAACCAAAATAAATATCCTAATATATTTGGTATTAACATATTAAATATTTTAATATTTATTAGTAAGAGATAATATGTTATTTTTCTTTAAGATATTATAGAATTTATAGTTCTACTTATGTTTATATATTTTAAGTAGTTATAATTTTTTTTAAGGGATGATAAGCTTTTGGAATTGGAAAAATTTATGACCCACCTCTATATTATTTTAATTAAGAAATTTAAAATTAATATCAGAATATTTTATTAAATTTTTAATTTGAATTATTAAAACTGTAAAGATTAATTTTCAATCAAACTTCATGTTTAAGTATTATAAATATATCATTTAATATAAACAAAAACATAAAAAAAATACCCGCCTGGTCGGGCGGGTCAAGGTCTAGTATATATTATTTCCAATATAAATCCAGGAATCGCCATTAATCCAGAAAATTTTATTAAAACTCTTATCCAAGTTCCCAAACATAATTTTTTAATATATAGAAAGATATTATTTAAACTAACAAATGATTGAATTTTTAATAATAGGGAATATTCTTAAATATTGTTAGTGACAAAAATTAATTTTGTTTGTTATTTACGATTTGATATAAATAGCAAATCTTTGTAACAATAAATAGCATATTTTCTTAAATATTGATATTCATGTTTTCAAACATACTTATTAGCTATTCATGTTTCCAAAAAAACTGAAATATACTTTAGTTTTAATAATATAAATGCTATTTACGATTTTAAATAAATAGCAAATCTTTGTAACAATAAATATCATATTTTCTTAAATATCGATATTCATGTTTCCAAACATACTTATTTTTAATACAGCTATCCATGTTTCCAAACAAATATGAAATATACTTCAGTTTTAAAAATATAAACTAGATTTTGATCCGCACTTTCAAAGCGCGGGTAATATACTATTTAATTCTGAGTATCCGGATCCTCGAGTTGGGTTTCAATCGAGTTTTGTCGGGTTCATGTCTTTCGGGTCTTAGAAATTTAGACCCATATAAGTATCTATAATTTTTCGGGTTGATTTCGGATCAGATGTTGTCAGGTTTGTTGGTTCGGGTATATTATCGGGTCGGTTCGGGTATTTAGGACCCGAAAAGGATCCGAAGGACCCAAACTGGATCCCAAAACCCGAAAACTCTAAAAAGGCTCGAAGAACCGCAAAAAATCCGAAATTTTATCCAAAATCAGACCCAAAAATCAAAAATATACCCGGAATTTTATCCCGATACCCGAATTATATTTTTTTTGAAATCTAAAAGTTTACCTAAAACCTAATATTATATTCGAAAATCCCAATCTGAAACTTTAAAAAATATCTGAATTATCAAAAATATATCCAATCACCTAAATATAACTAATATATACCATAATTTGTGGATACTTAGAATACCCGATCGGGTTTCTAGTAGGACCCGGACGAACCGAGACCTGCGAAGCCAAACAAAAAATACTCAACAGATACTTTAGCAATGACCCAAACCCGGACATGGATCTGTATTTTTGTGTCGGTTCTTGTTCGGGTCTATGTCCAATACTCAGACCTACTTCTTTTGATAAATTTGTAAACTTACAAATATAAAATTTTTGGTATAGATTTGAAGTCCATTTCGTTGCAAATAAATGTTAAAATTTTTGGGCTTTTAATTGGCGATTTTCAGTTGGGCTTTTAATGGATGATTTCATTAAAAATAAAAGGAAGTGGAATGTTTTGTAATTTCCTTAAAAAATCAGGGGTAGATTCATAAGCAGTCATCTGCTTTAATAGTATAGATATAAATATTCTATGTGGTTTTATTATATTTTTGCAAAAAAATAGTTACTGAATCAGAGGCCCTTACATAAACCACATTCCATAATCCATAATTCCATATGACACAGAGTTACAAAGCTTGTCGCTTATTTACTAACAAACACCAAGAACTATCCACAATGTTGATACTAATAAGTAATTACCACGCCGTTCTAATGATCTTCATGACCATGCAGATTACAGTAACTTAAGTTACAGGCTCGTGTGAGTCATCTTAGTTTGAACAAATTTTCAAGTTCCTTCTGCATTTCACTAGGAGATTACTGGATTCAACAAACCAAATCACCACATCTACCCCATAAGCCTCTTCTTACCTGCATCAAATAGAAGAAACAGAGCTTACAAAACAACTATGTCTACTGTAACTACATAAAACCTGTTTAAAAAAGGATACCTGAACTCTCACAAGTGGAAATCATCTGCTTCTCGAGTTCACGAACCGCATCAAATATCCCATGAGCAGCATAAGTCTTCACCATAGTAGCAAAAGTGATTTTATCAGGCTTACATTTCCTCTCTTCCATCTGTATGTACAACTCCTTCATCGTAGCCAAATCACCAGCTTCACCATACGCATTGATTATGCAGTTAAAGAACACCGTATCCAACACCACATCTGAATTCACTATCTGCCTCAGAACAGAATCTATCTTAACCACAAGACCAGCTTTGCTATACGCGTTAACAACCGAACAGTAAGTGATTGAGTTAGGTTTCACTCCTTGATACTTCATCTTCCTGAACACATCCTCCATCTTCTCGATCCTCCCCGCTTTCCCAAACGTCTCTATCACTATATTGTAGGTAACAACCGTCGGGGAGAAGAATCTCTTCTCCATGTAATCCAAAACAGAGCTCATCTTCTTATACATCCCAGCTTTTCCAAAGGACAGGATCAGTATGTTAAAAGTAGTGATGTCTGGCTCCACTCCCATAAGCTGGAACCGGTTATACCAGCTCTCCATCTTCCTAATGTCACCACCATTTCCATAAGAACCGATGATTGAATTTAAAGTGAAAACATCTGGAAGAGAATCTCCATCCTCAATCATATCAGCTAAAACATCTTCCATCTCCTCAAACATGCCTAACTTTCCATACCCATCAAGAATAGTATTGTAAGTAACCGTGCTGCAGTTAACTCCAAGGTGTGACATCTCGAGGAGGACGCGTTTGACTAGATCAAAGCGAGCAAGTTTACAGCAGCAGCTGATGAGAACGGTGAAAGTGTAGACGTTTGGGGTGCAGTCACTAACTGATTTCATGTATTCAAGCGTGGTGAAGGCTTTTTCTAGAAGCTCGCATTTGCCGTAGACGGATATGAGAGATGTGTAGACGTCGATGGTTGGTTTTAATCCTTCGGATAACATTAGTTCGAAGAGTAAGCTAGCTTGCTCAGGCTGTTTGCAGTTGCCAAGAACTTTGAAGAGTTTTGTGTAGGTTTTGCATCTTGGTTCGTACCAGTGCTGCTTCCTAAGAAGACTAAAAATCTATAAAACAGAGAAACAAGAAACTTAGCAGCCAAGTAAATATGTTCAATATGTAGAAACAGAGAAGTACCTTGAGTGCAGATTGCCATCGATTCTCTTTGATGGCGTCATCAAGTGCTTCAAGAACGGCTTTTGGCCATAAAGTGTTGTACTTTTCTGAGTTGGCTTTCCTCTCTATGCTCTTAACAGCAGCGTCTGTTCTCAGGATACGAGATAATTCTCTCTTGGGGTCTACTTGTTGTCTTGTAGATATTAACCCAGAGTTCTTTTTAACTGTTCGTTCTTTGGGGCTTTTCGTCGAACACGTTGTGGGCGTTAATGAAACAGAGGTTACATGCCTAAAAAAAAAAGATAGAATGGTATAAATTGCTGAATCGAGCTTGTGCAAGTGTGAAATACTCAAATCGAGATATGAAAATGTTACCGAGAAAAACAGTGAATCGTTTGCATGATTTCATTGGTACAAAGAGAAGAAGTCCCTTGAACAAGTTGTTGTGTCAATGCCATAAAAAAAAGGGAGACAAGAAGACTCCAAAGTTCCTGTGTAGACGTAACCTCCGTAACTAGAAGACACAGTTCATCTCTTTGTTTCTTCGGTTTGATCTCGATTCGAAACTTTCGGTTTTAAAATCTTGGTTTTGTCAGAGGACCGGAACATATCATCATGATGTGGTTTTGTTTGGAATTCCGGTTTAATATTATAGGAAATTTCGGTTACGTCGTTTATTTTTCATTTCGGTTTAACAGTTTGAACGGTTTGTGAAAAAACAAATTAACCAAATGGATTTTCGGTTCGGTTAGGGATTAAACCATACTAGTTAGAATTTGTTAACCAATGATTAGACACACTTTAGCTGATAATAGAGGTGGGACGGATCGGATATCCAAGGTATTTTAGGATACCGGATTCGTATTTGGGTCTTCCGGATATCCAGGGTCCGAGTACCTCGAACTAAAACTCGAACGCCCGCAGATATCCGAATCCGTTTTTAAGATAAAAAAAAAATAAAAAAAAGTAATTAAATTAAAAATTAAGTATTTATTTTATTAAAAATTATTATTTACAAAAAAATAAAATAAAGTTGTATAATTTAATAATAAATTTAACTTTTAGTTATTTTTCATAAAAATATATATAATATACCTATATAAATACAATTATATTTTAAATATTTTAAAAATATTTAGGGGATCCGGATATCCCGACTAAAAATTTTACTATCTGAATCCGTAAAATCACTATCCGGATCCGGACCCTTCAGATATCCATTTTTCCAGAGCGGATCAAAGTGAATCCTAGATCGGATAGCGGATAGCGGGTATTGAATCCCAGCCCTATCTGGTAATGACATTGTGATGCGAACCGAAATTTAGAAATGTGACTTAACCGGTATTAGAAATTTTAGAAAGTTATCCAAAACACAAACTACGACACAAACCACAAGGTGAACGAGGACAAAAGAATTGGGAAAGTACATACAAGAAAGTAGAAAAAAAAAAAGTTATCCGCGTCACCCCAACAATGACACGTGGACGGTGATGGTTGCGTGGACAAGTCTGAATATCACTACTCCACGAAACTCCGACGTCAGTAAAAGTCAGAGAGACATCAATGTCCACCGGCCAAAAGAAGTTCAAATAATGTAGACTTTAAGAGGAGAAAATCATTTCTACTTCTGTAAACTTTCTTAAGTATATAAAACGAAGACGAAACAAACTTCATCGAACATTCTTCTTCTTCTTGAGTTTACTTATAGAGTGATGGAGATGGAATTTAAAGAGTTAAAAGAAGCAATAGATCAAGTAGAGCTCGTTGATGCTCACGCTCACAACATTGTCTCTCTCGACTCTTCTTTTCCCTTCATCGGAACTTTCTCGGAGGCCACTGGTGACGCTTTATCCTTCGCTCCACACTCTCTCTCCTTCAAGGTATACGATGATAATACGGTTTATACTCCCTCCGTTTCATATAAGTGTCATTATAGAGAATTTGTTGCGTTAAAAAATAAGTGTAGTTTTCGGTTTTCAATGCAAAATTTATTAATTTTATTATGTAATTAGTTTTTTTTATTGGTTAAAATATAGTTAGGTGTATAGCTAACTGTGTTTTTATATAGGAAATATGTAAAATTAATTGTTTTCTTAATTCATGTGTATAAAGTGACACTTATAATGAAACAGAGTGAGTATGAGATTAGATTCAAACTTGTGAGTCCATTTTAGATTCAAACTTGTTTACTACGTTACTCTGGAATATTCATGTGTCTTTGGTCTATGGTTACAGAGGAATCTCAGGGAGATAGCTCAACTTTATGGCACTGAAGTGTCTTTGGAAGCTATTGAGAAACATCGTCAAGACACTGGTTTGCATGCTTTCACTTCAAAATGTTTCAAAGAAGCTGGAATCTCTGCTCTCCTCATTGATGATGGCTTGAAGCTAGACAAGAAGCATGACATCGAATGGCACAAAGACTTTGTTCCATTTGTTGGTCGTGTGTTGCGTATCGAAACTCTTGCCGAGCAGATCCTCGACGAGAAGATCAGTTCCTCTTGGACTATTGATTCGTTCACTAAAGTCTTTGTTCAAAGATTGAGCTCATATCCTTTATCTTCTCTATATGTGGTTTATAATGGATTTTGTAATGTTGGTTTTACCTTGACGTTTAAATGGTCACGCTCGTTCCAGAGATTGTTGCTTTGAAAACTGTTGCTGCTTACCGTAGCGGTTTGGATATTGATACTCATGTGAGCAAAGAAGTTGCTGAGAATGGCCTTGTTGAAGTCTTGCAAGGTAAGGTCTTGTAGTATGTGTTTAAACATCTTATCTTTCATCCCACTTACCCTCTTTTTTTCTTCAGCTGGAAAGCCTGTCCGTATTGGAAACAAAGGCTTGATTGATTACATTCTTTCTCTTACTTTGGAGCTCGCTGAACGTCATGACTTGCCTTTGCAGATTCACACAGGGTATGGAGACTTTGTGAGGGTCTTTGATGTTGTTGAAGTTTGACATTGTATTATAACTGAATCTTCTTTTTTCTTGAACCAGTTTTGGTGATAGGGATTTAGATTTGCGGTTGGCAAATCCTCTTCACCTTAGAACACTCCTTGAAGACAAACGGTTTGTAAAGTGTCGTATTGTTCTTCTTCATGCGTCTTATCCATTCTCAAAGGAAGCATCATATCTTTGTTCAGTTTATCCTCAGGTTTTGCTTCATAAACACTTTCAGTTATCTGTAAAATTATGTGATATCAGTTTACTTACTCTTGATCAATCTTTTTGTTCCTGAAGGTTTACCTTGATTTTGGGTTAGCGGTTCCAAAGCTTAGTGTTCATGGTATGGTGTCATCAGTCAAGGAGCTCCTTGACTTAGCCCCAACAAAGAAGGTAAAATTCTAAATTGTAACATAACCATAATTACCTCTTGCATTATCTTTGTTGTTCATGAGTGGACATAAAAAGCTAACTATGAGAGATTTTGCAGGTGATGTTCAGTACTGATGGATATGCATCTCCTGAGACCTACTATTTAGGTAAAATTCAAGTTGTTACCTGTTTTTGTGAGTTTTGAAACTTGAAATCTGCTCAGTGCATATTCTTGAACAAAATTCTCTGCTTTTCACAGGTGCAAAGAAGGCACGAGAGGTCATCTTCTTAGTTCTGCGTGATGCATGTGCCAGTAGTGATCTCTCACTCAATGAAGCTATTGATGCTGCTAAAGACATTTTTTCACGGAATGCAATTGCATTTTATAAGCTTGATCTAGAGGTAAACTCCTCTAGTCCACAAAGCAGTATTTCGCTTGCACCACAGATGAATGAGCCTGATGTTCAAGAAGATAGTAGTTCTTTTGTCCGCATCATTTGGGTTGATACATCTGGACAACAAAGATGCCGTGTGAGTGTTTCTTAATTCACCTGAACATTTATAACTACAGAACCTTGACAAGAGTTGTGTTTGTTGTACAGGCTGTTCAAACGCATCGTTTTAACATAAGTGTGAAGAAGAGTGGTATTGGTCTGACTCATGCATCAATGGGGATGCCTTCATTTACTGATGGACCAGCGGAACAGTCTAAATTGACTGGTGTGGGTGAGATTAGATTGGTTCCAGATCTATCAACCAAGCGGACAGTACCATGGTACCTTGCTCGTGTTCATTCTCGTTGCAGTTAATATCTTTTACCTCATTGATCATATCAATATATATCACCGTTAGGACAAAGCAAGAGAGCATGGTTTTAGCTGATATGCTCCTGAAGCCAGGTGAAGCATGGGACTATTGTCCAAGAGAGACTTTAAGAAGAGTCGCAAAAGTTCTTAAAGATGAGTTTGACTTGGTAAAACTCTCCTTTATACTCCATTCCACTCTCTCTCTGGATATTTTGTTGGCTTTGTAGCTTGAACTCCAAGTTTCCTTGGCCTTTTAGGTAATGAACGCTGGTTTTGAAAATGAGTTTTATCTCCTCAAGAATGTTGTGAGGTATGTGACTATAAATTTCTAGAATCAGCTTGGTTGCTTTTATTTAATCCCATGATATTCTCAAAAACCCTACCAAACTCTTTATTAAAGGGAAGGGAAAGAAGAGTATGTTCCTTTTGACTTTGGTCCTTACTGTTCCACATCCTCATACGATGCTGCATCTCCACTTTTCCATGAAATTGTACCAGCGCTTGAGTCCTTGAACATCACTGTTGAACAGGTTAAAAAAAAAAAATATATATATATATATATATATCTTTTTTTTTTTTTTTGAATGATGATCAGCTATGGATTGCAACTATACATCATGTGTTCTTGACATGTATATATCTCTGCACAGTTTCATGCGGAATCCGGTAAAGGGCAGTTTGAAATATCTCTAGGTCACACCGTTGCATCCCATGCAGCCGATAACTTGGTTTACACACGTGAAGTTATAAGATCGGTTGCAAGGAAACATGGGTTGCTCGCCACCTTTGTTCCAAAGTATGTTAGTCTCTTCCCCAATTTTACTATAAGCTTAAACCGCGGATTTTGAGAGAATGCATTTGTATGTGTGTGCCTTCTCCAGGTATGATTTATGTGACATTGGTTCTGGATCACATGTGCATCTAAGTTTATGGAAAAACGGTGAAAATGTCTTCCCAGCATCTGATAAATCATCTGCTCATGGAATGTCTACCATTGGAGAAGAGTTCATGGCTGGAGTTTTGTTTCATCTTCCTTCAGTTTTAGCAGTTATAGCTCCACTTCCAAACAGGTAAATAAATACGTAATTTCTTGAATAGTATATAGTTTTGTTGTGAACAAACGCAAATTAAAACTAGAAAATCGATTGGGTGTCCAATGTATTTTTTTACTGGTGCACCGAGATTTAAGTGATTTTAGAATCAATGAGTTTCCTCGGTTAGTTGTTACTAATTAAGTTTCACTTTTGTACTAAATATTCAGCTATGACCGACTCCAACCTAATACATGGAGTGGAGCATTCCAATGCTGGGGCAAGGAGAACCGAGAGGCGGCTCTA